AAAAAAACCCCAAAAAAAACACCACCAACAACAACAACAAATGCACTCTTGAATCAAATCGAAGAAGCAGGCGACATTTTACAATCACTAAATGTTAGTTTATTTTAAAAAGTGTAACTACCAGTCAAAATATAGCACACAGTTGTTGCAAAATATGCTGAGATTTTTTCCCCACGGCAAAGTAAGATAAGATAAGAGAAGAGAAGAGAAGAGAAGAGAAGATAGTACTTTATTAAGTAGTAATACACTGTATTTTATACAACGCACACGTGTACAAAAGAAGGAATAAAAACAACAGTGGGGAAAAAATACAATTTACATTATAATGCATTTCCTTTTAGTTTCAATTGTAGTATGAGTTTTGCGTTACATTATGTACTAATACAGGTGTGTGGCAGGATGAGAAATTGGTTATTACTTACTTACTTACTACCCATTACGCCATCTGGCGTTTAGGGCAGCAACAAAGGATCTCCAGCTCTGTCTGTTTTGGGCCATCTTGGGGACATTGGTTATACCAGTACAGTACAGTAAAAAAATATAATGGTAAACTTGTATAGGTTTAACGCCCCTTTCAACATATATATAAAGTGCCTTTCCCAAGGACACAACGTCGGACCGAGCTGAGGCTCGAACCCCAAACCAGCAATCTTACGATTACAAGTCCGGTAGCCTAACCACTTGGCCACCGACGCCTTCCCAGTGAAGTAGCCCAGTAAACCTGTCCTTTTATAGTATTGATATTGTAGCTCTGGTGTGGTTTACTCATTCTTTCCGATTAATCATCTATCCATTTTGTTTGACCTCCTTTTCTTTGTATGTCTCTCTGTGGTAACCGCCGTTTGTGGTGTAGCAGCTTTGAGCTTCGCTGCCGCACGCAGGAGACCTGAGTTCGATGCCCGAGAGGGGAGAAAATTGTCATCAAGTACAAGTGTATTTCGGTGTTCCTGTGGGGTGCTGCATCCCTCCGTCTGGGTTGCCCTTGGCAAGCAGGTTCCGAAGTCTCCGTCCTAGATTGTCTCAATTTTGTTGATGGGGGCGCAAAAGAACCCACATTTAAGAAAAAACGCAAACAAAACACAGACTTCTTTAGTAACACTCCAATCTTCGTGTCAACCTATTTGTGTTGCAGGTGCCGTAAAACTTAAACTTAAACTTGAAAAACAAAGAGGTAATTAAGAGCCATAGAATAGAAGTGTTGCTAGAGAGAAACATTCACCGAAAAGAAGTAGGGTAGATAAGAACACGACACAATAATTATGTTTGATAAGAAAGAAGGAGTCACCACATTAGAGCACCTGTCAACCACCCACACCACTACCGTTACAGAAAAGACAGAGAACAGAGACGTTTGTCCGACCCCCCCTTTTTTTGTGTGTGATGTTGTCAGTTGTTAAGACTGTAACCGGGGTTTTATGAAACCCCCAAAAATTTAGCAAAATTTGATTTTTTTATTTTTGGTGCATATTTTCTGATTATTTTCCATTATCATTCTTTGTTAAAAATGAACGGAATCGCATAATTTCACATTTTTGGGCTCAGTTTGCATAATTTCAGATTTTTTCCCCGTTGCATAAAACCGCGGGAACAGTTAAGACCAATAACTGTCAGTAGTTGTGGTGTTGAACTGCGTTGTGGGGTTGAACTGCCTGTAATAATCGTTGAACCAGTTACTGACGTAGATGTATTCCACGTCTTCGCCCAGTGCGTTAGATGCTCTGCATGCCACTTGAAACACCGAGAACTCGAGCCGATCAAACGGAAGATACAACTTGTAGGTCACACTGCCAGACGATACTTCTACTTCTAAATCCGAGTTCGTTGAATTGCCGTCTAGTCTGGTCACCTGACCTTTTTCGTTCGCAAAGATGGCAAGGTCGACATCGTCTCCGGTGGCAGTGCAAGTGATGAGTGCGGTTCTGTTGCCAGCGTCCTCTATCGTTGCTCCGTTCTCGGGGATGTCTGGGTAGCTGCCTACCCGTAAATTCAAAACAGCCCGCTCCGTTTTGCCGTTGGTCAAAGATGCTTCACAGACGTATTCCCCGGATGCTCTCGGGTCTGCCTCCTCGAAAACAGCGTAGGCCCTGGCCTGATCTCCCCCTGGGCTCACCTGAGATAGGATTTCAGGTTCTTGTGCACTTGACCCTGTCGATCTACGAATTGTCAAAGCAGCAATGCCCATACCCTTGACTCGACACTCGACAGCACAAGGCTCGGAGGTAAAGTGCTTTGATCGACGATTTGTGTTACAAAGAGATTCGGTTCTGCCCATAAATACAACATTTCCTTCAGGGATTGGAGGGGCTAAATCGGGTCGCCTCATTTGTACTGGGATCGTTAAAGACGTACTTAAGACAACAACATCTGGCTCGGGACTGTCCGGCACTTCCAGTTTGACTCGGCGTGACTGGCTGAGAGCAATTACTCCAGTCTCCAAACCGGAGTCCGTGTCTAGTGAAATCTGAAGCGTCGCTGTTTTCGCCGTGGAGTTCCTTCCGTTTTCGCCGGGACCGTGATCCAATGTCTCAGGAGAAGTGTCTTCCTCAGTTGCAGGCGCCAGTTCTACCCTCGTCATATCGCTGCTGCCGTATTCGTCCGCTTTTTGAACGAATACTCTGTAGATATCGTCAACCACCATGTAATTTGTTGACCACCACAGAGATTTGGAAATGTTGCTTGTCTCCGTATCATAGGCGAGTGTTTCTGCAAAGAAACTGAAATTATCTAACTGAGAAACCCGTACTTGAAATGTTTTATTCTGGCCCTCACGTATCAGGATTGTAGAACTTGACAAATTTAGGTCAAATCGTGGAAGGTCAATATTTTCTTCTCTAGATTTGGGCAGACCTGTAAAGTCCAGAAATGTTGCGTTGTTGTTTGGTCCCCCACTACACACGTTAACACGCACAGAGGTTCTCGGCGTGTAAATGTTTCCACCAGCTTCTCCAAACTGAAAGCTTATTGCATGCCTGAAAGCAGAAGCTCCATTCTCTAAACAGCGTCGAGTGCTGACCGTGAATCGGGACTTTGAGATCTTGGGAACAGGTTCGTTTCTCCGAAAGCTTAACCTTTTTATGGAGCTTGGCCCATGTCCAAATCTGTCTATATCTTGCATGGCGTATGCTGGCACGGAATGCAGCACCCTGAAAGTGAGAGTCACGCGACCATCCCTGTACTTTGATCTTACTGAAAGAGGCAACACAGGCACATCGGGGGTCCACCAAGATGTCGTGTGTTCACCTTCCGGTTTCTCCCCGGACACAGACGCCGCGCTGTCCACCGACTCGGAGGAGGATTCAGGGGGAGATACCGTCGTTAGGTATTGTGTTCCCGTCATCGGCTCGTGGGTTGATCCGGTCTCGTTTTCATTTTGAAGAGTTTCGCAGAACGCTGTAAGAGAATTGAGCAACCTGCTCATATCACTCCGCCTGATGAGTCTGTCGTTGGTGAGCCGGGCAGATTGTTCCAGTGGCACTATCTGGAGGGTCTGGTCCAGTTTTCCCAAGCTTCTCTTCAGGTTCATATAGTGGGTATCCGTGGCCTGTAAGAAACAAGCAGAAATCATCACAATTGTTGTCGTACACATCATCATCACAATTGTTGCATATATAACGTACACATCATCTCTGTTATTGTACACTAGCTGGATACCCCGTTCGATGAACGGACCCAAAAGAATAGATCGTCAAGTTATTGTAGGAACAGTGCGCACTGCATGTGAATGGAAGCCACTCTTGTTTACAATGGCGTCTTAGAAGACAGACTTTCCCAAGATTACATCTGAACGAAACTAATGAAAAACTGAAAATTAAACTACAGTGACTTCAGACTCCGTAATATACCTGCACGCCTTTATAATGATTCTGAACCATCGTTAACTTTTTTTCAATTTCGAAAGTTAAGTGGTTCGGAAGTTTTAGGCGACCAAAGTGACGAACTTTTACAAATATAGAGAGGGGGCAAAGGAGGTGAAGGGGTGGGGGGAGAAAGAGGAGACTATAGCAGACGACAGAACATCTCTAGAGAGCAGGAAAGGAAGTGAAAGGAGACAATTCTAGAGAAGAAATTTTTTCGGTCGCTACCCCCTTTTCAAACCCGGGACCTTTGAATGAGAGGTGAACACCTTAACCTCTAGGCAACGAGAGCCCCCATTGGGGGTTTGTGGTTTTATGAAGGTACGTGTCTGATAGTGTTGCCACATATGTGTCAGCGCGCTTCTCCTACAAATAGAAGAGGTGACACCCCACATAACAGCTTGCCGACTCTCTGCCAAGTTTCTTTCAGCAAAGATTGGGCCACGGCGGAGCAAAAGAAGCGGAAAGGCTTTTCAGACGATGAAATACGATTGATCTTAGCAGAAGTGGAAACAAAACCAATAGCGAGAATCCCAGTCTCCTAACTTACACGATTGTAAACAAAATAATGCTGTTCCCAAGAAAACAAACTCTTTGCAAACATCCCAAGTTAATATATTATGCAAGAATACAATTTTAGTGATAACTTCTTTGTCATTTTTTAAAGTAAATATTGTTTTCTAAGTAACAGCATTCTTTTGTTGTTGTTGTTGTTGTTGTTTTGTTTTTTGTTTTTTGTTTTTTTTGGGGGGGTCGTTTTTCAGTTGGGGGTGGGGTGGGTCTCTCCTGTAAAAACTGCATTACTGTGCTTTTAAAAAGGATGGAAGTGTTGGCGTGGAATGGGAGGGGAGGGGCATAATTAATGTACACAGTTTTAACCCAACTGTCCAACTATCGCCCTTGATATAGCCTGAAATTCGTACACAGCAAAATTTACACAGAGTACATAACGAAACGATGCAGTCTACGCGCCTCGTCGATTTTGCTACGTGCGTGCTAATATTTACTACTAATAATATTGCAAAATCACATCTCTATCACGTAAAGGGTTATAAGAACTTACCGTGAGTAGTTCTTGCAGCTCCTGGTCCGAGACTGAGCTCTCCACGTGCTGCAGACTCGGGGATACATGAAGCAGAAGGAACAGAACCACGACCACCATACTTGTTGCACTAGACTTCATCTTCACTTTACAGCAAGCCAATCTGGGGGGGTGAAATACTGGGTATTATCTTCTTTGGTACAATTTTATTTTTGTTTGTTTGTATTATAATATGGCAGAGAGACGTCTCTTTCTTCACGCGACATCCAACAGGGTATAACTTATAAGCGGCGGATAAAAGTACAAAGTAAGTGAGTTTTTGTTGTGGGTTTTTTTCACAGTTTAAAATCAATGACATGTATCATTTCCTTTCACAACTTAGTGTATTCAGAGTTTCCTTTGGGAAAACCAGAAAACAGAAGGTATAATATTATTTATATTCATTGAATCCTCGAAAGAAAGACATGCGTCGGAATAATATTTTGACAGCTTCGGAAATCTTGAACAATATTTAAGATCCAGAAAAAGAACCAACAAATTTAGAAATCTAGTCATTGACAATCAACTATGACATACCACGCTTTTTTTTGTTCTTAGAGTAAGACTGGAAACATGCGCATTCTGAAACCCCGAACAATATACGGCCAGAAGAAGAACAAACAAATCTAGTCGTTGACAATTCTGACATACTAGTACCACGCTTTTGGTTCTTAGAGGAAGACTGGAAGTGGGAACACTGCGTATTCAAAGATCTCGGTCCTGTGCGTGTCGGTGAGAGTTTAGTTTTTGCTCTCGGCCCAGTCGTGTTTAGCAGATCCACCTCGGGCTAGATCATATTATTATGTTTCGTATACCACAAGGCATGCCTCTATGTCTAATAGGCGGATGTGAATTATTAGCATTTCGCCCCAGCCACCGCCCCTCCACCCTC